ATTTTTTAAAGCGATCTTCTCTGGTTTTTATTTTATTTTTTTGAGAAAAATGAAAAACTAAATAAATTAACTTTTCTATACTAAAACAAAATTATACAGAACAAAAGTATATAAGAATATTTCTGCAAAGTAAAAGCTAATTTTATTTTATAATTTATTTTTTCTTAAAAGTCCTTTGTGATCCAAGACCCTAAATCTAAAACAAAATGACAACATTTTTTCAACACCAATTATGCATTTAGTTTTAACAAAGAAAATAAGAAATGAAACTTCTTAGCATGATTAATCTAAAATTCAAATAGGTGGACCGCATGGATGTTTATGTATGCAATTGAGAGGAAACTAGAATATAAATTCTAATGAAACAGAACATTTTCAACCACCATAGGAAGCTAAAAGGATATAAAAAAAAAACATCAAGTCACTTTTAAAATTTTGTTTCATGTTAGAGTGAGTCGGCTACCATGAACCTTCGATGCCCCAGATTGGATTCTTGAAGGCAGAGAACTCCCAATATGTTTTCAAAGAGAATGGTGGGAAAACAATGACACTTTCAGATCGAGTAATTTTAGATATCTCGCCAACAGATCACACATTACACTTAAATATCATAAATTATTCATTATTCAATAAATAAGAATCCATTTCAATTCAACTAAGAGAAGTGTTGACAATATACATTTCACTCTCTAATATACTCCTAATACACACTTTACACTCGGTTAAAATTTGTTAGGCATAGTGAAATCATGAACAGAGCTCTTTGGATAAGAATTGAGGCCCTGTAAAATTGTGACTTTCAATGAATTTTAACTAATAATAATAATAAGCTCTTATCTATAATGCAAAAAAATAATACTGTAATTATTATTATTTAAAACTTCCATATCCTTAGTGTAAAAATGGCAAAGTCAAGTCAAATATAGAGAAAGCTAACTAATGAATAATCACATGCAACAAAAATTAGAAAGCAAATTCCAAGAGAAATATATCACTCAAAATAAAAAAAGAAAAGAATTCAAGTCTATGCCTTCAAATGTAAACTGTTAATACTGATTCTATAGAGCACAAGACAGTTGCACATGCACTATTGCAAGACAAGTATTTTTAGATTCTGCAAAATAAATAATAACAAACTTTTTCAACATGAAACAAGAACCAATTTCAGCTTGGTTGCTTAAAGGTCACTCCAAAAATCATTGGACTCATATAAAGCAATGAATTTTCTAAACTAGATTTAAAGAGGATGTCTTCTTGCATTACAAAGGGTATAGGTAGCAGCAGAAGCGAAAATTATGTAGAGTTTCATTAACAGACTAGAATAACAAACATGCTAAAACAAATATTCACAAAACATACATATGCAAGAGATATTGATTATATTACTTCAACGTACTATTCTAAAGCACACCAGAATAACACTCAGAATAAAACCCTAGGTTGCAATGTTAATCAACTTACGTTAAATGGAGGCTCTGAAAATTCCTTCCCCTAATCTTCAACAGACCCCAATCTGCAACAGAAATCAAACCCAATTTCATTTCTATGAACCCTAACATTCAAATTAGTAATAAAAAGTAAAACAATAACTAGAATACATTCTGGAATACACTGAATAGTTGAATAAGTTATGTGAAATAGAACTAAAATATCAAAGAATCCGACAATTAAGATTATACCTATTTATGTGATATTTTTCATCTTCCACTGCTATTCAAGTAAGCCTGTCAACCATACAGAGGAAGGAAGAAGAAATAGTAGTGCTTAAAAAAGGAAGAATGATAATATGGTCGAAGAAGAAGAAATGAAGAGGAAACTGGTTCCTATTAATGGAATGGAAGCAACGTTGAGAAACGTTGCTGAAGAGAGACGTTGCTGAGGAGAGACGTTGTTGAGGAGAGAGCAGAGAGGGAGAAACGATCGAAATCTGGTTCCTAATAGTTATTTTTAAAATAACCAATTATAAAATATTTTATTATTTTTCTATAAAAATAATTAAAATCTTTTTAAAAAAATATTATTTTAAAATTTTGCTGCCATTTTTTAAAATATTATTAAATCTTTTTTACAAATTTTATTTATAAAAAAATATAGAAAATAATTTTCATTCCTGCCAAATTTTATACGAATATATATTTGAAAAATAAAATAAAATTATAATTATATAATTGAAGAAAATTTTGCAGGAATTTCTTACTATTAATTTTTTGCAAAAAAAATCTTACATATTTTCTAGAAAAAATATTTTGCAAATAAATTTGTAATAATTTGTTGTGAAATATTTTTCTTAGGAAAAGTTGTAACTATTTTTTACTAAAATATTTTTGCAGAAAAATCCACATGAATTTAATGATTTTTTAGTAGTGAGAGCAACGTGCAGTGGGCTTGATAAGATAATCTACTTGGTGGTCTCTTTAAGTTACAATGAATCTGACAAATGGATTTGGAAACTCAATAAAATCTCATGTGTTCATAGATATTTTTCAATAATCTTGGTGCGTAAAAGCATTATTGTGTACAGAAATCTCAACCATGTTAATATCCCAATCTATATTATCACTTACCATTTGCAGCACACATAAAAACATAAGTATTCCTAGTTAGATTCGTATCTAACTGCAAAATTTGTTGCCTGATGTGCCTTTTTTTGGTTGAACTCTAGGTCTCTTAGTGGAAAATAGATATCTTATCGTTTATAATATTGAAATTTATTGATGTTGAATTTGATTTGCGTAATTTGTATAGTAACTAGTTAGAGAGATCTTTTTATGTTTTGAAAACGTTCTACACCTAAAAGTTTTGATCTTCTCTTTGGGGTTTATTGTTTGACAGAGTGCCATCTGAAACTCGCGAGTTTATTTGTAAGTTTGAGATACTAGTTTTGAAATATCTTATAAATCATGTTCTTGAAAAAAAGAGTGCCATCTGAAACTCGCGAGTTTATTTGTAAGTTTGAGATACTAGTTTTGAAATATCTTATAAATCATGTTCTTGAAAAAACAAGACAAAGATTATCACCAAAATTTTGTGTGCCCTACGTAACCTGGGATGTGAATGTGTATATCTTTCCTATATTTTGAAACTGTTTGTCATAAATCTCGGTTCTTCTTATGCTTGAATAGGGTTCCAGGTTTCTCTTACCAACACAAGTGTACACACATCCAGCATAGGAGAAAGAGATAATAAACCACTGTTGAAGATAAAATCATTTAATGTTTTTAAGTTTATCAGTAGACTCTGAGTTTAACTGATGCTTTACACTAATATTATAATATATTCAATAATATCAGAGTTAAAAAATTTTGTTGAAACCCCACATGAGATATACGATGATGTGATTTAAATAGTTGTTAAACTATTTCATATTGATTTTATGTTAGAAATTTAAAATTATTTATATCTTTGATTCAAATCCTGAAACGGATCTTAATAATTCATATTGCCAGGTCAAATAAAATATTATTATTAAATAATAAATAAATATAAAAAGATAAAAAAATTAAAATATGAGAAATCAAATTTATAAATATATAAATATGTATATTTAATAATAATTAAATTTAAAAAACTAAAATCATAAAATTAATAAAAATTATAAAATTCTGTGAATAATGATTAAGTTTGGAGTATCATAAACTCTCACATCAAATTTCACCACTGTCCAAATATATCAAATAATTGATCTAATATCATGTTTGTATATTTTTTAACTAAGAGCTGCCATAATAATTTGAATAATTTCCTTGTGCACAATTTAAACCTGATATTTTGTATTCTATTTTTTTATTCATCGCCAAAAAAAAGGCCTTAAGAAATAAATAATTTCAATGGCATATACATCTCAAACTTTTCGTTGTTCACTTATTGTAAAATAAACCTTAAACAGTAATAATATTCATGACGGTTTTTACGCATATATCACTAAATGCAAGTAAATAATGGGATAAATGCTAGCCAAAGCTTTTTAATATATTTATTTTTATCACTCTATATTATATTTATTACATTAATTGCATTATTTAATAGAACTTTCACATTTATCTTCTTGCTTCTTATCTCTATATACAGAGTGTACAACAATAACTTTTCTTACCAATTAATGAATTTTTATGTTAAGTTTAATTTTTTATCAATAATAAAAGTGAGTTAATTAAGATAAATATGTTTAAAATTAATGATTAACATTTTAATAAAACATGAATTAATTGTTTTCCCATAAAGGAACTTTGACGTCATCCCCACCACAAAATGCACACTAAACAAAACCAACTTTGATTCTCTTAAACAAAATTTATCAATTCACATTATTTCAAGAATACACCTATACATTATCTCAAGAATACAGTAAAAATTATTTATGTATATTGCAAGTTTGAAAATTTTCCGCTTTCATTTAATTCTATAATCCATATAAAATAAATATGTTGACTTTAATAATCACTCTAAAAGCAATACTATTTTTTTTAATTTACATTAATAATCATATTCATTTAACTCATAATGAGCATGTAAGAAGAAAAATGTAAAAATATTTTAAAAGGGTTGGCAAAAGAAACGAGAATAATTAACTTATTTTTTTTAGAAAATAGTTAATGCTTTGAAAATAAAAAAATGAAATAAATTGATGCCCTTACATAATGAGTTTATGGTTCTTACATTTTTTTTTTATTATTACTTCTCTCTCTAAAATGTACGTTATATAGCCTATGGACATTTCTTTTCTATATATACCTGCTTCTTCTGTTCCGTGCCTCTCACTTCTTTTCATTGTTTTCGCTCTCTCCCTCTTTGATTCACTCTCTGTCTCTCTCTCTCTCTCTCTCTCTGTCATTCTCTATTTCTCCCTCTTTCGCTCCCTCTTTGTGTGTCGCTATCATTTCCGTGAAGGTGCAGAAACCCTCGTACCCTTTAGAGTTTTGTTTAGTTTTTTCGTTTTGAATGCCTTAACTTGATTTTTTTTCTCAAATAGTTTTTTTTTTCTTTTCTTGTCTTTTTTGCAGATGGATCTTTCTGGGAAAAGGGTTTCAGGCGAAGGGAGTAGCAGCAGTGGTGGTGCTGGTGCTAGCAACCTTCAGCTTGTCCCTTATTCTGAGAACAAAAAAGTTTGCCGTTTCTGCCAGCGTGAATTCAAGTGTGGCAGATCCTTGGGAGGGCACATCAAAGTCCACAATAAGAGCCGAAGAACCATAAAGTTTACCCATAAGAAGAAGAGCAACAGAAGAGGGTTTGGATCCTCTTCAACACCAGCATCCCTCAGAGTTGAGAACGGTGCAAGTGGTGCAGCACCAGTCAGAATTGTTGAAAGGGGTGCTGAGATCACAGAACCAGCCATGATAGACAACAGAGAAACTGGTGCCCAGATCCACGATGTGTCCATGTCGTTGCTGGGATGTGGATGGAGGACAAAGAGAAGGAGGGGAAGCAACGAAGAGACAAACCATACGATAATAGTGAATCATTCTTATTCGCAGGATGAGTACGTGGAATGTGATGTTGAAGATTCCTGCGATGAGGACGATTACGATAACATCAAACTACGGAAATGGTTAAGGGGTCGAGGCTACGCCACTGGAGCACATAAGATCTGTTGGACTAGGAGAATGCTAATGTGCAAAGTCTGCAACCAGTATTTCCGAAATTTGTCTGGTGTGATTACTCATGTGGATGAGTGTGCCCTATCCAATAGTGAAATGGAAATGGAGAATGTGAGAAATGAAGAGGTTGATCAAGTTGATGGTGAAGCTGGTGAGCAGCAAGAAGGAAACGGAGAAGGTGAAGTTGGCAGAATGCCAGAAGATGCTGCATTGAGAAAAGGCAATGGAGGTTCTTCTGGTGTAGGAGAAAAACAGCCCATGCCAACTTCAGCTGCTACACCCAAAAAGCCTCAATTGGATCTCAATCAAATGCCTCCTACCGTGAAGGATTGAATGAATGTAGTTGTTTTTCTTTTGAAAGTTATGTAGTAGTCGTCTTTCAGCCTTGTTTAATTTCTGTATAAACTTGTAACTTCCCTTTTTGTCAAAATCTGTGTGAAGAAAAGATCAAATATATAACCAGCTGCTACCTAGGTTTTTGGTGGTGGCTTTTTGAACTTCAAAACTTGTCTTTCCTTCACTTGGCCTCACTGTATCCTCAAGAAATGATGAATGGGAGTTTTAGATCCTTCTTATATGTTTCTTAATTATTGTGTATGTTTCATTGGAGTTTACTTTCACCTTTTAAGCAAATTAACACTAAAGAAAAAGTGTAAATCTTTTGAAGGAACTCATGTTTTGAAAATATATGAAGCTTTAACTTATTAGGATTCAATTGCATTTTTTTTCCCTATTTATTTTAGTCATTCTATTAATAAAAACTTCAATTAAATATCTGAACTTCAAAATTATAACAATTTATTTCTTCCAAGTTAGAAAGTAGTCATATTATTTCAATTTTTAAAAATTAAAAGATTTAATTTAAATTTTTGTAAATAATAAGAGTGAAGAAAATAAAATAAATAATTAATAAAACTTAAAAAGAATTAAGACAATTTTTAGTTTGTTCATTCTAATTGATTAAAATTTCTGATTAGGTGGGCCGCTTATACCTTCAATCACCGTGTTCGAATCTTCGAAACTAGCATGTGAAATTTGATTTCATGGAGTGGACCACTCTAAATTTGATGATATATTGTTTGTTTCTTGGTGCAGTTTCATCCGTTTCTTATCTTCACGAGTAATTTCTGGTTTATGCAATAAAGAGAAAGTTTAATAAATATAGATTCTTAATTGTAAACAAACTTTCCACCAATTAAAAAATAATGTAACTCTTGGAGAATTTATTATCAAAGTCTAATTAAGATATATATATATATATATATATATATATATATATATATATATATATATATATATATATATATATACACACACACACACATAAGGCTAAGAGGGGAACCATCCCTCAAAAGCTAGCTCAAGAGGTTGGAGAACCTCCTACCTTATAAGGCCTCCTCGGTAAGGAGACCTCCCCAATGTGGGACTTGTTACAATACCACCCCGTTCGAAAGCCAGCGTCCTCGATGGCTGCACTCCACGACACTTCACTCACCGGCACTACTTTACTCGGTCTTCTTACCGGTCAGAACCCTCCGTGGGTAGCCCTTCTCGAGTTGACTGACTCTCAACGAAAGCACCAATGTAACAACCATAAGGCTAAGAGGGGAACCATCCCTCAAAAGCTAGCTCAAGCGGTTGGAGAGCCTCCTACCTTATAAGGCCTCCCTGGTAAGGAGACCTCCCCAATGTGGGACTTGTTACAATATCACCCCGTTCGAAAGCCAGCGTCCTCGATGGCTGCACTCCACGACACTTCACTCACCGGCACTTCACTCAGCCTTGTTACCTGTCAGAACCCTCCAGTGGTCAGAACCCTCCGGCGGTCAGAACCCTCCATGGGTAGCCCTTCTCGAGTTGGCTGGCTCTCAATGAAAGCACCAATGTAACAACCATAAGGCTAAGAGGGGAACCATCCCTCAAAAGCTAGCTCAAGAGGGTGGAGAACCTCCTACCTTACAAGGCCTCCATGGTAAGGAGACCTCCCCAATGTGAGACTTGTTACAATACCACCCCGTTCGATAGCCAGCGTCCTCGATGACTGCACTCCACGACACTTCACTCACCGGCACTTCACTCGGCCCTCTTACCGGTCAGAACCCTCCGGCGGTCAGAACCCTCCGTGGGTAGCCCTTCTCGAGTTGGCTGGCTCTCAATGAAAGCACCAATGTAACAATCATAAGGCTAAGAGGGGAACCATCCCTCAAAAGCTAACTCAAGAGGTTGGAGAACCTCCTACCTTATAAGGCCTCCTTGGTAAGGAGACCTCCCCAATGTGGGACTTGTTACAATATCACCCCGTTCGAAAGCCAGCGTCCTCGATGGCTGCACTCCACGACACTTCACTCAGTCTTCTTACCGGTCAGAACCCTCCGACGGTCAGAACCCTCCGTGGGTAGCCCTTCTCGAGTTGACTGACTCTCAATGAAAGCACCAATGTAACAACCATAAGGCTAAGAGGGGAACCCTCAAGAGGTTGAAGAACCTCCTACCTTATAAGGCCTCCCCGGTAAGGAGACCTCCCCAATGTGGGACTTGTTATATATATATATATATATATAGAATAAATAATTAGATAAGATTTATTTTAGTTGAGTCTGGTTACATAGTACATAAAAGCTTAAAAAAGGGATGCTGATAATATCATTCAAAATAATAGCATATTAAAGATAATGTGCTAATAGATAAAATCAAGTATAGTATTAACAAATTATGGGCCGGGTAAATAAGAGTCACGGGTTTAGAAGGTACATAAGTCTCCACATAGTAATAAAGGCAGAACAAGTTTACGTTGATAATTGTTATTTGCTCAAGCTGATTTGATATTTTCACTCATATACATGAGTTGTATTCGATTTGAAAAGTTATTATTTGGTTAAGTCGAGATATTCTTGAATGCCTATACGAGATTTACTCCATGAGAAAACCTATTTATTTAATACCGACTGATAAAATATTTAAAAGTATTATGGGCAGGTACGTGAAGAGATTTGAGTTTAAAAACTGTCCCTTTCTTCTTCTTTCGTATTTTGCGGTTTTTTTGCCCAAAAAAAAAATGTTAATTTTATCAAAGGGTCAAAATTAAAATTTTATTAAAATGAGTTACTTAGTATTTTTCTTTTTACTCAAGTCAATATTAAAATCATCCTATATAGCATGATTTTAATTGTTTGATTTAGAAAAAAAACATATTTATAATACGAATTGCGTATAATTTCTATTATACGAAACTGCTACCTAATATGAATTTAATGTTATTTTTCTTAAAAAATATTTTTTTTACTTATTAAATAATTGATTTTAATTTAATTATTAATTTAATAGAAAATAAAATATTTAGAGAATCATGAATAAATTTAATGCAATAATTTTATATTAAAATATTACATAAATATATATACATTGTCACACACAAAAAAATTCATAGTGAAACTTTGTCCCACAAGATGGTATTCTTATTTATCATCTGGGTTTACGTGGTTAATCTTACGTAGGCCTTTGTTGTGTTTGTGTAGCACGCCTATGACCCCGCGAAGATTGAGGTTGAATGTTTGTTTGTCTATTATTATCATCATCTTCTTCATCCTCTTTATTTGCATACTGTATAGGAGATATACTGGATATAGTAGTCATGAAAGGTGCTTGATTTTATGCTGACGGTGGTGTCATAGAAAAGGTGAAAAACATATTTGTTTCATATGGAAACAAAGTAAATGTATGAGGAACTTGTCCTCCAAATTGAAATTAAGCAAATAAATTTTTGAAGTTAACCAACATATCCAAAATATGGATAAGGTTGTTGATCGCTCGACTGACCAATATGTTGATGATTGGGCTTACTAACATGTTGATGATTGGAGTGACCTAATGACTTGACTAACCAAAATGGATATGACTAGGTTGACCAACATATTGGGATTGTTCCTGTTGTTATGTATAGTATTATTAAAAAAAATCAATATTAGCTTGATATCAATGTTATATATATAAAATAAAATTATTGATATACTTACTTCATCATTTGATCTTCTTCTTGAGAAGAGAAAATAAATATGATAGTATGTTAAAAATACCATATTATATATGTTGTATTTTCTCGCAAGTGACAATTTCCGCTGAACTTGTTTCCTTGAATTAGTAGATTGTGACAGTCATTTTACATAATAATCCAAGTTTCATGGTATTGAGACCAAATTCTATGAGTTCTACCTCTCATGTCTTTCCTGTGAAGTTTGTCAAGATTAATCAGATCTTTTGAAATTGGTTGGCGAAGGCCAAATTTCCTAATAACCTGGTTTGTTTGTTAGACAAATGACATCTAAAGGAGGGGGGTGAATAGATGCACAAATTGAATAGATGTCAAATTAAAAATTTATTTTAAGATGTCTAATTATTTATTAATTCAATTTTAATTATCGAATTGAACACCAATAAAGTGTAAGTGATAATATAATCAGAGAGATAAAAATGGAGCATGTAAGCATAGAGATATAGGGAAAAGAAAAGAGCATAAGAGAGAAGCACAAAACAATTTATACTGGTTCGAGTATAGTCAACCCTACATCCAGTTCCCAGTCAACTCTAATCACAAGAGTGACCTTAATTCACTATCTTTCAAATTTAGTTTACAAAGTACAATCAACTCAACAGAGGAACCAGTAAAAAGTAAACTAATTAAAAAGACAATCACCTTCTTAGAAACCCACTAAAGATGAACACCTCCTCTGAACAAATCAAAGGATGAAAAATACCTCATTTGTAACCAATACACAAAGGATGAACACCTCCCTGAACAAATTAAAGGGATGAACAGTTTCCACATAGAAAACCCAAAGAAATATAACAGAATAATAGTAACCACTTAAACCCTATCAACTTCCTAAGCCCTAGAAAAAGGGATTAAGGCAATAAAATAACAACAACTACCTAAACCCACAAAGGATGAAGACAATAAAATAAGAACAGTCACACTTGGGTAATAGAGACAACAAATTGTAGAAGTCTGTAGAATGCCAAACTCCAAGAACAAGTGTGATTAACAATGAAAGTGCAGAAGATAGTGGAGAAGAGGGTTTTCTCAGAAGGTGTAAAATATCTCTGTTATCTTGTTTAGAATTCTTTTCTTAAAACTGAATGAATGTAAAATTGTATTTTTCGAATTTTGTAATTATGTATTTTTTATTTTTCATCAAAACTTATTTAAAGAGGAAAATAGCATTAGAAAATAGTCGTTGATCATTAATACTTTCGTAGAGAAAAATCAGGATGTATTAAAAAACATTTATTCTTCAAAACGAATATATTTTTCAAATATGAACTGCCATAATCAATTA